TCTGTAGTCAATCAGTTTCAGATGATTGATTTTAAGTCCAGGACATTTGTGTTTGGACACTATTTAAGGAATAAAAGTGGGTGTAACATTTTAAGTTTATTTTACAGAGAAGTTCTTGATGAATAGAATCTGTAGGTTCTTTTCCATTGACAATCTCGAGGAATATTTTTTCTTTTTTAATGGATTATCACAGCTCTAGGAATTCAGAGTATGTGAGTATTTGTCATCACCATTTAAAAATTGAAGAGAGGATAGTTTTATGATTCTGAAATTTATTTTGCTCAAAAGTCAGAAAGCCTAGGTTCTAGTCCCAGTTCTGCCACTATTGCACTGTATAATCAAGTAGTAATTAAGTGCTATATCTATGTTTTTTTCTTTCACTTGTAGGTTGAAAAGAAAATGTATCTTCTTCAATCTATTTTACAGTGATACCATTAAGACCTATGAAATAAAACTCTTTTTCTCTTCATTTTTATTTTTTATTAGTACATGTTTGTAGTACATAATGATCATATTCCTGCAGGTAGCTGGTACACATATTTAATTCTTTTTTCATCTCTTTCCCCTTCCTTCTCTTGGTCCCCTTTCCATTTGCAAAAGATCTATCTCCCTATCTTCTATTACTTATCTTTTATTTTGCTCCTTGTTTGAAATACTTGGAGTTTATCAAAAGAAAGTCGATTTATAAAACCAACTTATTTAATATATATCCTGCCAAAACTGAAACATCTTCCTAAATCAGAACTATTAAAACAAGTATATTAAGGAACAGTATGAAGAGAAACTTCTCTAATAGAGGATATGAAAATATCAATTATTCATTTCAAAATCTCTAAAGTTCATCTATGATGCAATATTATAGAAAACAATTAGAAATGATAATTGGGCCTGAATGTAACATTACTCTCATTTCCAGTGCACTAAATAAGTGACAATAAACTTTAAAAATATTTTCATCATCCATTTCCAATTTATGAAGACACCCTGAACGTAGTACAATACATAAGACTTTGGTCACTGGTTGGAAAAGGATAAAGGACAAAGGAAACTAAGAATTACCTGAACGTAGATTGGTAGAGAGTGATGCCCTTGAAAAACAGAATTAGTAAAAATTTGCATTGGAGTGACAAGTATAGCAATCTGGCATGCCGAGACATGGACCTTAGTGCTGAATGGGCTAGAGATGTAGGTATGCTGCATTCAAAAAATCTCATTATAGTTTTGATAGCTAGAATTTGGAGACACTGTCATCCTTGATGAAAACCTAAACAAATATTTTCTTCTTTACTATAAAGTAGTCATAAAGAATAAGATAAATCTATATGGAGTGATACAGAATAATGTCATAGATATATTCAGAAAAACAAAGTACAGAACAGTGAGTATAGTATGTCCCCCATGGTGACAAATAAAAGTGATATATGCTTACATATTCATAAACTCATTCGGGAAAGATACAAAAAAATGGATAATGTGTTGCCTCACAGGAAGGGACCTGGGGGACTGAAGTTCTAAGAAGGGAAAGAGAATAATATTTTTCTTTGCTCTGAAATCTACATTATCTGGTATGTACATCACCACTCCAGATTTCTTTCATGTAGTGTTTGCACAGAATTTACCTTTTGCTATCCTTTTATGTTTAATCTGTCTTCTTTTCATATTTAATAGGAGCTTCTTGTAGACAAGTTGAGTCTTATCATCTTGTCCAATATTTCAAACTCCAGTTTGTGTATTCAGAAATTTACATTTACTGTAATTATTGATATTGCTGGTTTGAAATTTACCACATTGATATGTTTTCTGTCACAAATTTTAAACTCCTTTTTTTCTGCTTTCCTTTACAGTACCTTTTTATTTCATATACTTTCTATATTCATTTTGGCTTAGTAAGTAAGTGTTTGTTTTGTATTTTTTTACTCTTTACTTCAAGATTTGTGACATGCTGTGATCAGCATTCATATGTGTTTAATCTTCATTTCACTAGGTAGATATACAGTAACAAATGTGGCAGGACTGTGGGGAAAAAGGAACCCTATTCCATTTTTTATGAGAGTGTAGACTGGTGCCACCACTCTGAAATCAGTGTGGAGATTCCTCAAAAAAACTAGGATAAGAGGTCTCATTTGACCCGCGTATGGCTGGGGATATAGTTCAGTGGCACAGGCGCTTGTCTGACCCAGGTATTCCCCTTCTTGATATCTTCCTGAAAGAATTAAAAATATCATACCGCAGTAATATATGCGCACCCACATTTATTGCAGCAGTATTCATTTTTCTAGGATAAAAATGGTATTATCAAATTGTTTCACAAAGAGGTTGTATCATTTTTCATTTCTACTAATAATGTATCAATGTTTCAGTTGTTCCATATTCTTGTCAACACTTAGTATTGTCATCCTTATTGCTTTTAGCTAATCTATTAGGTATATTGGTATTTCATTGTTTTAATTTATCAAATAAACTTTTGATGCAGGAAAGAAGTTTAGTTCCAATTTGTGCTTTTCTATTGGCAAAAGAATGGGTAAACTTTTCCTCCTTTAATTGTGGGTGTTGGGTATTTTGTCTCAGCAATGAGAAAATTAACTAAGACAATGGCTATTGTTTTCTGTGACCAGACTCAGGGGAAGAATTAAATTTGTAAGCCAATGTACCACTTATATGCAAATACTCTTAAAATATACTCTAAAATAGTCAAGCAATACAAATGTATTTGAAGTAAAGTCTCATCTCTCATTCTCCTTAGAAATTGTTATGGTTTGGGGATTATTTTTGCAAGGGAGAAAATATAATACAGGACACATATTTTATAAGATTATTTATAATTGTCACCCAAAAGTACTATATACAAGAGAGTGCAGGAAATCTGTCCACATACTAAAACCACGGAGTCTAGCCGAGGGCCTGGATCCCACAGAAATGTCCTGCATGAGTCCAGCTGAAGAGCTCATAACAATGCTTCCTACAAGTGCAATTGGAGGCCTACAGCCTATGCCAATATCTCATGCAAGCCTGTTTCACAGATCTGCATTGGGAAGGCGCAATGGTCAGTGGTGGAATCTAGGAAGTCTGTGCCAGCAGGATAAAGGATCTGTGCTAGCAGGCTGGGTATAGGAGGCCCACCTGAGGACTGTTGCCAGCAGCATAAGGGGCAGAACTGGAGAAGAAGGAAGGATGTTAGGAGCTGAGAAAAGGCTATTGGGAGCTAGTAGAAGCTGTGAGGTGCTGTTGATTCTTTTTGAGGAGCTTATCATGGTAGCTTTTCTGATGAACTTGGCTGTTTTCATCCTCCAAGGAGCACAGGACCTTGTTGACACTGAGAACAGCTTCAGTTCACTTTAGAGGAGCTTTGGTTCTCATTCTGAGCATCGCTTCCTGGCTCCGGAAGGGAAGATGGTGCACAGCCCAGTCTCCTGGATAAGCTTGCTGTGTTGGCTTTCCTGATGGGAACTCAGCCATCTTGATCATCACAGGAGCTCGGGAACTTACTGTTGCTGAGCTGCGGTATCTTTCAGGGGAGCTCTGGTTTTTACTTGTGCATCATTTTCTGGCTCGAGTGTAGATCCCTCAGCCTGCTAGCACAGATCCTTAAGACTCCTTAAGCATGAATGCTTAGGTCACACCAGCAAGTGCATCAAAAAGATGCACTGAAGCGACCGCTGAGAGTAAGGGGAATATAACGTGAATAGTGGAGGACAGGACATGTACCAGTGTGACATGAGGCCACTGTAATGTGAAGGACGATAGTTTGTCCCATGACTCTCCCTTTTCCAAGCTTGCCAAAAAGAGGTTTATAGGAATCATAGATGAGGTATGCTATAAACAGTGTTATAAGCTGATTTATGTCGCAGCTGTAGCACTTTGTGATGCATTAGGGAGCTTGTATCACGTCGTTTTTCCTCCACTGCTCTAAGACAGTGACTTGACACAGGAGATATACTAGAATTGTGCCATTCTGACCCAATTTGGAATTCTAATGGGCAACGTTGGCTTATGGTTACCCATTGGTTTCACCAAGACTCTCAGAAAGGACACCAGAAATGAAAATGTCTACTGAACTACAGTAAATTGGACCTACTATGTGTAGAGTGCCTCTGATAGTACATCCAGATACAAAGTGATTTGGAGAAGGCAGTATGAGGAAATACAAAAGCCTTTAAGAAGGAACAATACATGTTCCAGCGATACGTTAAGGCAAGCAGCAAAATCCATTAATTGGCAGAATTCAGGTAAAAGGTTTTCAAAGAAGGTAAATTATTGAAAGAAATTTTATTCAAGGGGTAAAAAAGACCTGGAGGCAAGTTACTCAACTCAAAGGTCCTAGAAGAAAGAGCCTGAGCTGGAGTTGGGGGCAACACAATCAAGCTAAAAACTATGACTTTAGAGAATCAATTTATGTAATTTATGACGTTATCTTCCTCATGGCTTGCTGTAACATCTCATGTCTAATCTATCCCATCTTATCGGCTCTACATTCAAAACTAGAGCTTTCATTGTCTCACTTAACAAATCCATCATCTCGGTTTGGGCCGACACCATCAGCTCACCCTCCTGGGCTATTGCAATGGCTTTCTAATAGTTTATGTATTCTCAACACTGCAGTGAAATCCTTTGAAGTTTTAATTTACACCTTTATTCCAAGCCTGTAATGACCTTCAAAGCCCTCTGTCACTCTAACCTTTGCTCCCAGTACTTCTGGCTTACTCACTCTCTCCTCCAGTTACACTGATATGCCTTGTTCTTCCACAAACACACAAGGCACCCAGAGCCTTAGGCCTAGGTTTTTTTTAATGCCTGAAGCACACCCATAGTTATATGTCACTGACTCTTCCCTCCTAAAAGTCAGCTCAACTCACCAGTGAGGTTACTTTAATGCTCTATTTAAGTCTGCAGTTTGCCCCTCTGCCTTCCAATTTTCCTCACTTTTTCAAGTAGAGCCTCTTTATAACACAACTACTACGTAGTTTTGAGTTGTATACTGATTGCCCGATCTTCCCACCCTCATACAAACTCCAGAAAGGGAGTGGTCTGTCTTATTCATGGATGCTTCCCTGGTACTCAGAAGGCACTTAATAGATATTTGGTGAATTTATTTCGAAGCTACATTTTGCGTCCCGTAAGGCAACTGCTGTTTGGTTACGAGCCTTAATAAGCTTCCCAGCTTCTCAGGGGCAAGAAACCTAAGGCCTAGGTCATGGGGCTAAACCCGCATTTAAAAACTATCGAGGCTCAACTTCCCATCTGGCCCCTACAGGTGTAGAGGACAAAGAGGTCGAACAGCCGGCGTACGTTAGTTTCCTGGGTCGGCGTAGGGTCGGCAACTTCCCCCGCTGCAGCACGGCTGCTCTGAGAATGTGTGGCTTTGAACATCCCCTCGGCACAGCTGATCTGCGCCGCCGGCCAGGGCGCGCGACGCGAACCCGCCCTTCCCGCAGCTTCAGTGCCCTCACTTAGGTGGTCAGTCCGTGCCTAAACATCGTTCTTTTCGGGCCGGGAACGTCCTTGCCCCAGGACCGAGGCGCCGAGGCAGCATGCCCTTGGCGCCCCGGCGTTCTGCAGGGAGCCGAGCGGACGGCAGCGCCGGGCCGCGAACAGGCGGCGCACCGAACACCCGCGCGAGGCCCCGCGGCGCGTCAGGGAAGCGCGCCGGCGCCCTCGGCGCCCAGACGCAAGCTCCCGCCACACGCACGCGCAGTGCACGCAGCATGAGGGTCGCGGCCTTGATCAGGTAACCCGGCACGGGGCCGTCTCCTCGCTCCCCGCTCCCCGCTCCCCGCTCCTAGCTCCCCGCCGGCCGTTAGCCCCTTCCTGCAGCCGCTGGCGCCCAAGGAGACGGGTCTGCGCCGAGCGTCAGGTCGGGCTCGCAGCTCTTCCGGGCCACAGGAAGAGGCGGGGCGTCGGGCAGGTTCCCGGCTGGCTGCGCCCGCGCGGCGGCGCGCCCCTCCCCCGGCCCGCCGGCCCTCGCGCTGGTGCTCGTGCTCGTCTGGGGAACCCGGAGAGTGTGCGGCGCCCGGCCGCGCCGCCGGAGGCGCAGGTTTAGTTATCCCGGACTGCCTGCGCCGCGCTGGGGAAAGGTCCCGTGGGCCTTGAAGTTGAAGAGCCGCCCGTCATTCGACTGTTACTATCTCCTGCCTTTCTCCCCGGTCCCCTTCGTTGTGCGCCGTAGCGCCCTTGGGTCTTTGGTGTCCCGCCACCTTCCGTTTCAAGGTCCCTCGGCCCTTCCCTTCCATCGCACATGTGGTTCTGCAGGATGGACGTGGACTGCGCACTGCCCCTCAGGGTTTCTGCCCTGGAACCCCGGAGATCGCTTCCCTTGTGGGGACACAGTTGTACTGTTTTAGGCTAGAGCTAGTTCAGCTGCTCACGGAGCACGGCTGTAATTGCTTTTGTAACTGTGGGGGTAACATCCATATTCCAAAAGAGTGGGACTACCTAATAACCCAACATATTTGGTGTATAAATAAGTTATATGACTGACAAACCCCAAACGGCAGTTAGAAGTTTCAACACTCAATCTCTAAATTGAGGTACTAGAGCACACAATACCGAAAAGAGAGTTTCGACTACTTAAGTATTTCGTTTCCTGAGAAACTGGGTCATGAGTGTCTAAGGTACATTGCAACAATGCGTTTACATTTGAAGTACATTGAAGATTTCATAAATGTTTAACACACTGCCCTAGGTTACTGGTGCTGGTTGACAGTACTGACCTATTATAGGCTGGATACGACGTTCCAGTTACTGCAGCTATTGAATACTATATTCTGATTCCTTTTACTTTTAGGAGAATATAAAATAGTCAAAATAAGTATTGTCATTTAGTAAATGTCCTTTGTAAAGGAAATGATTAACTTTTAACCGTTGTGATTTTCACTTGGTTTTCAGAAATAAGAATTATAAGTAGCCCAGGAAATGAGTAATTGACATCCACATTCAGTTTGCCAAACATATTAAAGATTAGCACAGTACACGCCTACTGAAGACAGAAATTTGGAGGGAAGGAGAGAAGATCCACATAATCCACCAAATATTCTGTAATGTGCATATGTTGCTTTTATAATCAAGTTACTGAAAAAAGCAGTGGTTGAAAATTATTGCTAAACATTGAGTTTTATGCATGTCAGGAGATATATTGTAAGTATCAATACACTATTATACTAACATATGTTCATGACATATGTGTGCCTATGTCTTATATATCACATATCTGTATATTTATATTTTATGTATCTGTATTTATATCCATCTACCTGCCTATATATATACATTTGAACCTGAACAGTGAATCTTTTTGTGTTTGTGTATGTGTATGACAATGAGAGATAAGAGGTATGTGTGTTAGGAATAAGTGAAACTGATTTTTTAATACCTTTAGGCCAGAGAACACTATTTTATTAATTTGTAAACAAGTCATTGAATTTTATAGTTGAATGATACCTTGAAGATTATCAAAATGGGCCACTCTCTGTAATGAAGTATGTAAACCAAGTGTTGAATAACTTGGCTTAGTATCCCAGAGTTGGAAACTGAAAATCTGATTTGTAGGATTAATTATTAGATCTGTAAGATTAATTATTAGATCTGTAAGATCTAATATGTACTGTACATTTATACCTGAGTATTGTAGGAGATTTGTTATAGCACCTCTTTGGATTCTAAAATCTGCAGATGCAGAGTCCTTCATATAAAATGTCACGTAGAGCCTATGATATTCTCCAATATACTTTAAGTCATCTCTGGATTATTTGTAATACTTAATACAATGTAAATAGCTGTAATAGTGCATTTTAGTGAACCTGTGCATATTCATTCCAGATGCAATTTTTGTTTCAACAAAAATGTCGAACCCAGAGAAATGGAAGGTAGAGCAAGGATTGACTGTGCTTGTGAACTTATGGAGTGCTATGAGGAGAGTAAGACAGTCAGCACTTCTTAATGTTGTTTACCTTTGTTCTTAAAATTTTTTGTTCTTAGAGCACTCAGTTAACATTTTGTTAGACACTAGTCCCTCCCTGGTAGCCTTGATTAGGTACTTGGAAGTAGTTGGAAGTAGTACCTTGAAACTATATTTGAGATGGTAGTACATTTTACAATAAATTGTAAGGCTAAGTGCTGATTTGGGGTGCACACTCTTCAATCTTTCATATTTTATAGAATTCTTTTTCATTTGGAGAAATAAAGTAGTGAAGTTGAGTAGTGGTAGTTGTGGAAGACTCATTTAAGGGAATCTGAAAAGAGAGAGTGCAGGCTTTTTTTAATACTACCTTTTGCTCCTTGCACTCTTTCTCTCTGAAATGAGCATTTTATATACAGTGGTGGCTGATATACTGATAATATTGGTGGCCAACATTATCAGTGTAATTCATTATTTTGTTCTCATGTCTACAAAATCTTAAAGGCAAGTATGTCAAGCTTTGTCAGACTCAAATTTTTAATTCGATCCTTTAATTGGTGATAGTAACCAGTGCTTGCTGGAACAGTTTTTTTTTAAACTTAGTTTCATCTAAGTAGTATATATAGTAAATGTTTTGCTGAGATATAAATAATTTTTTAATTAATGAAGTATTTTGTATATTAAGTAAGACCATCACAAACTAGAGGGTTATTATACTTTGTTTAGAATATTCTTTGTTTTTGTGGCATGTAATTTCATAAGGGCTTATAAGTAGCAACCTTAGACATTCAGATTCATTTGCTCAGTTTGCTTAAGATTTAGAAATTCTTGTATCCTTTCTGATTGCTAAAGTTTCACATATTCTGAAAAGCTAATTATGATTAAATAATGTGTTCCATTTTAATATCTATTAAAATTGTGTTTTAAAATTGTTAAAATTCTGATTCTGTTTTGAATAACGGTCAGTAACCTGGTTCTGTGTCCCTCTCTTGTCTCCGTCTCTCTAACTTGCTCTCCACTGTTTTATTTTTAGTGGTGGGAAGGACAGCTGTTATAATATGATGCAGTGCATTGCTGCTGGCCATCAGATCGTTGCTTTAGCAAATCTGAGACCAGATGAAAACCGAGGTAAGTATATGCCTTTACTAGGAAATTCTCAAAATGAGTGAAACTTATCTTCATGATCCCATTCTATTGTATGTATACGGAAGAGGAAAAAAGAACTAATACATATTTAGTCCTGTTAGATGCTAGATGCTACATAGCATTGTTTTCACCTGTGTATCCTTTAATTTTCCTTTCAGCCAGTAGAAAGAGGTACTGTCAGTCTTACTTTTAATAGACAGGAATAGTGAAGCTCAGAGTTTTGTTTTTCCAAAGAGCAGTTAGCATAGATTTTTAAAGCTGAGAGTTGAACCATCTTACTTCAGAGTGCACTGCTGTTCTACCACACCTCATCTCTGAGTGTTGGAGGCAGTGTGTAGGGAGATGACCTACTGTCTCCTACCTCAAGGAGACTGCTACACCTCATCTCCAAGTGTTGGAGGCAGTATACAGAGAGATAACATACAGTCTCCTACCTCAAGGAACTTGGGAGATAAGACATGTATTCTGCATTCTTAATATGAATGTTACTTTTAAACAAATACAGTTTTATCTATCTTCGATGTAAGTGAAAACTGTGAGACTTGAGAGAAACATAAAGTGTATATTTCTCCTTGTTTATCAATGATTAAAAAATACATCCACACATAGTTTAGGTACTTTTTCAATTTTCTTTCAGTTTTTTTTTTTTAAGTATTCACAGTTGGAACTTTCAAACCAATATATTCACAATTGGCTTTTAAAACTCTTTAGTTATACAAATATTAACAGAAGTCTGAGGATGAAAAGATTAGCACTGATCTAACTTTATACATTGCTACTTTTTTACATGACTTTTCTATTAAGATTTTTTTATCATCTTGATTTTAGGCTCTGTGCTTTTGCATTACTTTTATTTTAGGATGGATTAAGAGACTAGTATATGTGAAAACATTAATCATACTTCATGGCTTGAAGTAGGTGACCTGTAAGTGTAGTTGAATCAAAATCTAAAACTGAGTATTTCCTTTCCTTTTTTTTCCCTCTGTTTTACCTGCCTTCCTGCCAGTCTCCTGTATTTTTGCTTTTATATTTTGTAGTTGTTTTCTATACTTTTAATCTTTGTTTTTATCCCCAAATAGATTGGTTATAAGAGATTCTATCTTGTGTCTTCCTCTGAGTCTTCAGCACTTGGGATGTCTCTGTATCTCATATGAATTCAGTTTGTTGATAGACAATAATTGATGAACTCACTTGAATTAGCTTTGGGATAGTGGGCAGATATTTCAGTAAGGTATGTGAATTTTCTACTTCTGCTGTGGTCAGGACCTAATTAATGCTGCAATTAATCTGGAAAGATAAGAGATAAGTATTTATAAGAAGAAATAGAATAGTTTCTATAGAGAGGGGTAAATGCATACTGTAGGATTTTGTGCTGAGACTCTGAAGATGAATAATAGCTAATTTTTAAGAAGTGTTTTTTTTTTTTTTAATTGTTCTAACTTTAAATAAGAAAGAGAACACTCTTTGAGCATGAGTGGGAAATGCAATGTTCTGTATACATATTCTATGTCAAAGAAAAGAAACTGCGTTTTTTCCCTTGTGGCCAGTAAGGCAAGATGGTCTTTCAAAGCTATCTTGAGCGTTCTTAGTGTTTAAAAAGCAGATGTTTATATAATATGTACTACATGTATGATATAATTATAATTTTCCTCCCTGAAGTTTGTATCTTGTCTTCATCTTTTCTATGTGAATTAATATGTTTAACTTGTATGGAATCATTAATGTATAATTTCCATGTACTCACTGTTTCCTAGCACAGTAGTGACAAGTAAAGTGTCCTGGTTATTTTTCTCACTGCTAAGGCCAAATACTTCATACCCACAAGTTAAAGGAGAAGAGGGTCTTTTTGTTCACAGTTTACAGAGTTTTCAGTCCATAGTTTGCTGGCTCCAAGGCTGGGCACCATGGCAGAGGGGCATTGTGGAGGAGAAACAGTCCACAGAGGAGGCAGGACTGCAGCATGGCAGAGGGGCATTGTGGAGGAGAAACAGTAGCAGAGGAGGCAGGATGTAGCAAGCCTCCTTTAATTTCATCTAGGGTACAAACCTTTTGGGTGGTGCCACCCACAGCGAGGTTGGGGGATCTCACTGTATACACCCAGATTTGTGTTAAATTTAGTTTTCACTCACTCTTAATCCAAGTATCACACACTGTAATCCAGCATCACACACCCATGATCCAGTCACCTCCCAAAAGTCTCACCCATGAGTGCAAAAGGCTTGTCCGGGAGGGCCCTTCTAGGTGCAAGTCATAATATAAAGTATATCTTTAAATTATACTTGTTAGTAGACTGGAGCCATTTATTTAAAATATTGTTAAACATAGGAAGTGGAATTAACTGAAACTAGTAATTGTAGAAGACAGTAGAGTGCTGTGGGTTGGTAGAGAGGATTTAGATACTATTTAAAGTCAGCAGAGTATTGGGATTATTGAATATTTTATTGGTTGACTTTCCTTGGGACATGTTGTAAAAGGCGTCTCAATGAGGAATACTGTTAGAGATGACTTCATTCTATAGAGCAAAGTTGGTTAGGTTATAATCTTGAGTTTTTAATAGGTAGTCTGGAAAGAATTTATTACCATCAATGTGAATAATGTGCATTTGTCATAAAATTTACAAAAGTATCTTTCAATTTGTAGTAGGGACATTTATGGAATGTTAATTGAGGTGCTTGAGGGAGAGTTGAAGCCTTTTGGTTTTATTTGATCTCATAATATTTGTTGGAATGTAGCTTCCACTAATAAAAGTTACATTGTGGGTAAGACTAAATGGAGCCTTAAAGAAAAATTTTTGACTAAGTTTTTGAAGGTAATACAATGATTTCATTATACTAACCTCAGAATGTTTCTTGCTAAACTCAGATTTCTTTGTATAAATTGATTCCTTAGTACTGATAACTTTCAGTACCAATAGACGTACAGATCCAATCTAAGTTGGAGATGAAGAAAGACTGAAAGGTTTTTAAGTAACTTTGGCTATATCTCTACTCCTACTGAGACCAGGAGTAGATAGATTTATTATAATAATGAGAGTTCCATTCTACAGGAATTCATTCTGATGTGTGGATTAGTAACATGGTGAGCCATATGACATGGCACATGATGTTGGTTTTAAATGTTGAGTATTTGCACTATCATTATTAATGTTTTTTGTTAGGATTATTTCATTTTTGGTGTAAAGTGTGCTTGTTATATATACATATATAATACTCAGATACAACTATGTCAAATAAATGACTTGTAAATTCTTTTTAATTTAACGTATTGTGAACATTTTCCATGTCATTAAATAATATTCTACAATTGTTTTTCCCATATTTCTTCTTTGGAACACAAATACTTCCGTAAATTCTAAGTATTCTCTAGGTTGATAGAGAGGTAGTTTACACTGTCTCCCCTTGTTGAAGGATTTGAAAACATGTTAGCCTGGTAAGAATTGCTAAAAACATGTATTTAACATTATTTATCCCCATACTTTGTAAACTAATTTGATATGGAATCCTTTTTTTCATTCTATATTTATTAATAGCTTATGGGATTTGTAGTCTGCTGAATGCAAATTAGAAAATGCTCAAATTACATTAATAGCTGCATAGTATTTTATTATATGAATACATAATAATTTTTACTTCACTAGAAATAATGTTGTAATGTATATCTTTGTAAATAATCTTGTGTATGTTCACTATTCTTTTTTCTTGTAAGTAAAGTTGTAAGATCAAAAAGTCTCTCCAGTATATTTCTGAGTTCATTTATAGCTTTATAAAATCTGAAATTACTAATTTGTTTTGAATATCTTAACCATATTAGTATTCATAAAATCTTGTGACAACCAGTGATTGTATTATTGATTATTGTAAGTTGCTATGTTTCTATACACATTGGTAACTACACTAACAATATTGAATGTATACTTGTTTTATTGAAGTACTGAATATAAAATATACTAAGAACATCTAAATTTTTCCAGCAAGTATTTGTAACTTATTAACTAGTAGACATTTAATTAAAGTTTTTTTCTTCAAGTGTAGATGACTGAATAACCTTGCTTTTTAAAAAATGTATGTAATAAAATTTTTGATTGACTAAATTAATCAAATTTATTGGATATATAGTATTTCTCTTTTTAAACATTCTGTATAGTTTTTATTTGTCATTAGCAGTAGAGATGAGTAGAGCTTCTAGGAACTAAATTAAATGCAGCTATGGAAAAATATGGAATTGTCATATATTATTCCTCTGTATAAGTGCACTGAGATAAAGTAAGCTTTTAAGTTTAGTTTGACTACTTTTCAAGCAGTAATACTGACCTGGGCTTTGAAATTTTCTTTCTTTATTACTTTTTTGCTGATCATTTCTACTTTTAATGTTGCAGAGAAGTCTGATGAGCTGGATAGCTATATGTATCAGACAGTGGGTCATCAAGCCATTGACTTGTATGCAGAAGCAATGGCTCTTCCACTCTACCGCAGAACCATCAGAGGAAGGAGCTTGGATACAGGATGGGAATACACCAAATGTGAAGGGGATGAGGTTGAAGATCTCTATGAGCTTTTGAAACTTGTGAAGGTATGCTGAGTGACCAATTACATTTTTTGTTATTTAGTGTATAATCAGAAAGTTTTATTTACTGTATTATTTAATAGTAAAGAACTTACAACTATTAATATCCCAGCTAGTTTTTGAAAAAATATTTTTATCTTTTGAAGGGTAAGGAAAAAAGCATTTTATGCCTTTATATTAAAGGATATTTTAAAATAAGAATTTAGTGTACTACAGTTGGTCATCCAAAGTTGTCAAATAGTATTGTTCACTCATTCTTTTTTTTTTAACAAATATTTTTAAATGGTTGCTATGTGCTTGACACATAGTGCTAAACACAGGGTAGGGCACTGACCAAGTGAGATGAGGGTGTCTTTGATAGAGAATACTTTCTAGAGGAAAAAAAAGGACAGACAATAAAAAAGAACAACACACTTGATGTTGAAGAGTATTATTTATCTAATAGGTAGATTATTTATTTAATAGGTATATTGAAGAGGGAGGAAATTTTTTTTTTTTTAGATAGGGAATTTAAGCCAGTATTTCTTAACATATTTTCACAAGGAGAAAGGAAGAATATCTGTTCTCTTCTGTACCAAGGGACAGAGTATTTTATTTTCTTCCTGTTTTGTTTTATTTTGTATTTTGAGACGGTCTCGTCATGTAGTTCAGGCTGGTCTTGAACTTACTGTGTAACCTAGGTTAGCCTCAGAATTGCTGCAATCCTCCTGCCTCAGCCTCCCAAGTGCTGGGATTACAGGTGTGTGCCACAATGGCCAGCTCATTTTCTTTTAAGCAAAACCTTTCCAGGGCCGGGGATATAGCTCAGCGGCACAAGCACCTGCCTGGCAAGAAAAGCCTTTTCAGAAATTTTATCATGAAACTATATCATGAACGTTTCTTAGTCTCAAATCACTGCATATTGTTATACTTTATATTTGATATTGATCAAAGCTTAATAACAGTTCAGGATTTTGATGAAAAAATATATGAAACACTGAAATTCTTTTCAAATTTGCCTGATAAAATAATTCTTATTTTATGTATCAGGACATTTTTACTTTTACTTGAAAAGGAAACAGAGGAAAAACACTTTTTGTTTAGTTATGGCTCATGTAAAAAGTAGATAGTTTTCAAAGGAAATCACAGGGAAGATAAATGCTAATGACAACTGTTTTGATTATCTATCAAGAATGCAAGTCTGCCTTTCTTCGCTGTCTCCAGAACGGTACACTTAAGATCTTGACAGTGTTCACTTTAAAATATGAAATTCTGAGTGCAAATCCTCCACCTTTAAGGTGCCAAGAAATTTAACATTAAATTTTCAATATAAACTAATTCTACAAAATGGTGGGAATCACACTAGATGTTCTCGGGTTTCTTGAAAATCACAAACTTCATAACTTTAGAGAAGCTATGTAATAATAACAGCCCTCCACAAAAAGGAAGGCTAATGAAATTACTAATCAATTTTAGTTAAAAATGGGCAGATTAATAGTAATTGAGAAGAAATTTCCTTTTCCATTCATGCTATGTTTGAAGAAATGGATGCTTTGCCATTATCTTTCCAGTAACGATCAACTGTGACATAAATTAATGCTAATGTTAAATCTTGACAACTTCTGCTTTGGACCTTTGTACATGATAATTATAACTATAGCTGAAAGAGATGTTATCAGGTTGTCTGGGACTGAATAGTTCCTTCTTTTCCTGTGTAGAAATATCAATTTTACTATAGGATATTTTAAGGACATAAATATCATAAATATATTGCTTTTATGAAAGAAATTATATAACTAAGCTTTTATAGTTAAATCCATTTATGGAACATTGGTACAGAGATTCCAGTAGAGGTCTTACATATTCTAGTGAATAACTGAGTAATTATGAAAAAACAATCTACAAAAGCTATAATTTTACATTAGTCTTCACTTGTTTTAAGAAAAGGAAAGAACTGCATTTTTTTAATCCTGTAGATGCTAGTGAAGCATTGTAAGCATTTAGATTTATTGTCACTTTAAACATATATTTATAACAGGCTGTTGTTTTGGGACTTTTACATATGTCAGTTTTTTGATTTTGTAGCTTTTTCCCTCTACATACTAGAGTCAAGTTTTGACTAAGAGTTATTCTATTTTGTAACAAATTCAGTAAATTAGTTATTGAAAATAAGTAGGAAAGTCTTGGAAGAATTTATAGAGTTTTAAGTTTCCTGTTTTGCAGAAGTGATGGAAATTAATATAAATGTAATAACCCCTCAGTTGTATATTACCAGGTGATTATGACAGGTAGAGATATAACTCAAGCTGTTAGCAAAATTCTGTGCTGTTTTTGTTGAGGGGGCATCTAATCTTTGTTTAAAATTTCATTAGTATTAAATTATAAATTTGATTCTTGTTTAACTTAATTTGACATGTAGATAATCTAATATTTTCTGAAAATATAGTAATATTCTAAATTCTATTTTTCCTTCTTAAATGACATAAAAATGTAATAATTACCATAAGATACTTGTAAACATTATTATTTTCTATACAAAACATGTTTAAGGGGCTGGGGATTTAGCTCAGTTGCACAGTGCCTGCCTGGCAAGCGTGAGGTCGTGAGTTCAATTCTCAGTACTGGAAAAAAAAAAAAAAAAACAGCAAATTTGTTTAAGTATCAGCATATTTCTTTCTCACTATGTAGGAGTTACTTCTTTCTGGATCTGATGATGCCGTTCTCTTGTTTATTACAAATTCAGTGGAATCTGGGAGAGTATAATTTTCAGCCTTTACATTTGTAGTTCTTATTCTACACTCACATTTTTTTACATTTACAGTTTTAGAGTGAAAATAATATGAAGCAGTGTTCATGGTTCTCTATCATTTTGTTGGTAAGATTTTTGGTCCTTTTCAGATGACTTGAATTTCTTTTCTGTTAACTTTTACATTTGGGTCTTTATGCATGGTATATTAAAACGTCACAATAGTGCCATCCTGAACATAAAAGAGTGCTTCTACGTCCCTTCCACATCTTCCTGTTAAGCGGTGGCAAATCCTTCTCTTCTTTTTTTCACTAATGATTCAGGGATAGTCATGTAGTACAGGTGAAAACCGTTATAGCATTCTTCTGTCTATAATTATTGCAGCAGGGATGGTTTTGTTAACTTATGCTGGTCCCAGTAAACAAAGACTAGGGTAACAAGTGACAGGCAGAAGATAAACTCTTTCTCATGTGTAGAGAGATAATTTGCTCCTTTTGATTTTCTGTGTTCCCTTTTTCTGGTAATCTTACTGGTCAGATAGTAGGCTTACCAGATTGAATCTCCATCTGCTTGTCTTTTCTCACATATTTTTCGTCTTTGTGTCTTTTTGTTGTGCATTCTGTGAGAGTTTCTTTTTAAATCTCCCTACTTTGCTGAATTCTTTTTATTTCAGCAATTGTGTTTTCAGTAGTTAAGAACTTTTCTTGTTCATTTTATGTAACAACAGTTTTCTCTTTCTGTAGAGGCAGTATCCCTCCATTATTCTTAAAATATAAGTAAGAGAGTTTAAGCATTATCGTTTTCTCGCTGAAATGTTCGTGTTTTCTTTGGGAGTCTTTTTTTCTATGTTTTCTTCTCTTTTATGGTGTGGACTTTTCTCAAACGTCTTGTTTGCCTGTACTGATGCAAGAATGTGGAAGAGTGAAAGAAAGTGGAAGAGTGACTGTGAATACTTGATTTTAGTTTTCCCAGTCTTATGTTTTTCACTGGTACTCAGCTGCTTTGAAACTCTTTCAGTTTGATGCAGAAATTTTGTCTGTGTATTATCGTTTATTTGTTACTTCATGAGCAAGCTAGAACTTGTTAGTGTCAGTTGCTGTGTGACTTGTTGCCTTTTCCAACAGAAACAATTTGTTTGGTACTCATCGTTTTGGGTACTTGTCCTTCCTCCCCAAATCAGTTAATAATGAGTACCAAGGTACCAGTGTAGTGTGGCTCAGTTTGGTTCCTAAGAAAGAAACCCTTATTTTCTTCCTGCAAACAGCAGATTATGTCTTCCTGTGTTGAAGTATCCATCATCATTCCTTCTTCATATCTTTCTGACTTACAGAGTTAGTTAAAAACCTTTAGTATTTGTGAGTCTCTCCTTTTCAGGGATTATGCCTTTGCTTTCATTTGAAGAGAATTTTATAATCCAGAAATGTGTGTTAACTTCATTCTAGTGGAAAATAATTGATAGTCTTTCCTAAATTGAATATTTAGTTTCAATTTTTGTCTTCTAGGGTTTGTACCCTTTTGTGTGCTCCAAGCCACTGCTATCCCTGACTAGCTTTATAGCATGAGGTCTTGTAAGGGTCCACCATTGCTCCAGAGACCTCTCTGTCCATATACCCCAGGACATGGCAAACATCCAACCTTAGGTTTACCCCTGACCATGTTGATAGATAGAGAAATCAAACAGACCACTGAGTTCTGTGCTGGAAGTTGGCAGCAGTAGGGGCAGAGAGTAGTCCTCAACTCATCCCCAGTGCTTTCAGACTCAGCTGCCTCAAAAAACTACCTGATTTTTTACGACAGAGGGTAGAATCACTGTGTTTTATATAGGGTGAGCTCACTGCTCCTTATCTTCTTAGAGGGTCTGTCACTAGTTTAACTACTCTCTGAGAATGTCTGTCTGTATCTTCTTCACACAGTCACTCTGGCAGGTAGGGTGACTCCAAAGATCCTGAAATGCAGTTACTCTAGAGTATCTCAGTTGATTCCTGGAGTATCTCTGTTTTAACCTATTAACTTCTTCCAAAAATGGCTCCTATTAATATGACTCCTGATTATAACAGGTGCTGCAGTAGATTTCTTCTTCAGTACTGTGCTGCCCTGCAGAGGCAGTCACTTTCAGTATAAACCCCCAAACTATATTTGCAACTTACAGTAACTGTAGGTTTTTCCTGGACCTAGAGCTGCTGGTCCTTTGTATAGTGTTAGGGCTGCTGGACCACTCGGGGCTTACCTTGTGTTTGTAGAGTCAGGTCCTACTCCCTTCAATAGGATTAGGGTTCCAGAC